TACATTCCTAGTTGCTATTAATACTCAATGAAACTTGATCCATAGAAAATGTAAAAACTTGCAAATTTGACAGTGTTGACTTTTGCAAGTCTACTTTTAGAGGAAAGTCAAACACAAGACAAAAAGTGAATGTGGTATGAATAACAAAATATACAAATGTATAGCTCACAAAGCACAGCTTTTCAGAATACTCTTCTATGTTTTAAATTATTCCATTACTATTTCTCTATTATGCCTAATTTTCAATTCAATTTGAAATGATGCTCAGAATGCCAAATCTAAGATTATAGAATGTCCTAGTTTAAAATATTAACTGAATTAATTAAATTTAACCATAGCACTTTCAAAATAAGGAAAGCAGATGTAGATATTTTGATATTTTTCTTCTTTAATCTTATCTAGTAAACAAATTAACTCCTTAGTGTTCCACAGTTCCCCTGTATTCATTCAGAGTTCTTTTATCCTCCTCCCCCCCTCTTTTTATTCTTGATTTTTTCTTCTTTATCTTTTGAAAATCTCTTTATTTTACTCTCATACTTCATAGTGTAGGTATAGAATTCTGGATTAAACAATACTCTGCCTTTCAGACTAAAAGCCTGTTTCACTGTTTTCCATTTGGATATCTTAAATATAAAATTTTTCTCCTTTTCTCTTATTAATTTCAAAATAGAATATATATGTAGATATGTTATACATGCACATTTATCTCTTGTTTTTTCTTGGGAAGTAATATTGCTACAATAACTGTGGAATTAACAAATGGACAATTTATACATAGTGATTTTCAGAACAAGGATATGTTATCACAAATTCTTTATAGACTACATATTAATTCAATGCTTATCATGGGTAATATATTCTAGAAATCAAAGAATTTCCACTCATTAATGCAACTATAATTTCAAATACAGAATAAGTTCTAAATAAATATTGTTAAAAATCACAATTATTTTACAATTAAATGATTTTCATCTTCATTTGAATCAAATAACTTCTATTCACTTTTCTGAGTTATATCCAAGTGCTATTATATCTGTTATAGAATCTAATATAGAGAAGCTGATCTTACATATGAAAAAACCAGTCTAAATGTAATCTAAATGTAAAAGTTAAGCTGATAAATCCACACATTAAAACTTATAATTTGTGGCCACAGGGATATGAGCCATCTTTTAACAAAAATGATGTCAATATTTAGCATTCAAAATACAGAAATCCAAGTAAAATATAGGAATACAAGTATGATCTTACTGGCCAAATATGTAAAAAGCAAAAACATATTCATTTTATAGACTTTTTTCAATTAAGTATCTCCTAAGTATCAATCACCACAGGTGCATTTCAACATCAATTAAAGGAAGCTATTTGATGTAGAAAAAAGTGTTCTAATTTATGATAAGGAATGGATATGGTTTGCCACCCAAAGGTTCATGCATTGGAAGTTTTGTTTCCTATGTATCATTATTAAGATAGCTGAACCTTACAAGGTGAGACCTGGCAGGTAAATAGGTCATGGGGTTTCCACCTTCATAAATGGATTAACTCTCATCTTGGAGACTGGGTTGATAATCTCAGGCGTGAGTTAGAACTGTTATAAAATGAAGCCACCCCATGTGTTCGGTCTATTCTGCACAGGGTTGGTTCTCTTCCTACTTCTCTGCTATGTAATGATGTAATGAAGGAGGCCCTTGTCTGGATGCCAGCATCACACTTTTTGAACCTTCTACCCACCAGAATAATGAATCAAGTAAACCTCTTTTCTGTAAAAGTTACTTAGCCTCAGCTATTTTGTTGTAAGAATACAAAGTATACCAAGTCAGTTTAACAACAAGAAATTTAGGTGTTCATCAAAATTTGTGAATAACTTGGTATGGGAGCAAAAGATGACTATTTTGAGTTCTTTGGTGTCAGATGTCTTATTTGTAAAAAGAGGAAGTTTCACTGATCTCCATCAATACACTGAGAAAGAGTGACAGAACTCATATACCACTGGCAGGAATAGAGTGCTCAGGCTATTCTTCTATGTTCTTGGCAAGACTTTTACTTCTTCCTCTCAGGTAGACTATAACTAATGTTATTGCTTTGTGCTATGTGTTCCCCTAAAACCAGTATGCTGAAGTCCTTATCAACAAAGTGATGGTTTTAGGAGGTAAGTCATTTGGGGGGGTGATTGGTTATGATGGATAAAATCTTCTGAATGAGATTAGTGCACTTACAAACAGGCAAAAAAAAAAAAAAAAAAACAAAAAAAAACACCCTCAATTCCTTCTACTATGTGAGGTTACAGTGAAATACAGCCATCTATGAGTAGTGAAGTGTGCTATCAGCAGACACTGAATCTTCCAACTACTTAATCTTCAGCTTTCCAAATGCCTTCAGTGGCTGGGAGCCAGGAACTAAATCCAGGTCTCCTGTGTGTTGGGAGAAACTTTTATCAAATGTTATCACTGTGGAGGCTGGCCTTGATCAACTAGCTGAAGCAGTGTTTGTCAAATCACTCTTCTGCAAAATTACCCTTTGTGCTCATTTTTACAAATTAGACTTTTTAAGGACATCATTATGCATAGCACAATGTAGGAAGCAGAGACTTCTTTTTCAATTTATTCAGGATAGAGTATCTACAAAAATTATTTGAGATTCTTCTACACAAGAAATTTATCTATACTATCTAAATATATATTCAATTATTTATTAATATTAGTATGGACTTAAGAACATTAATTTTACAATTTGGGCTGTAAAATAATACTATATTTATTTTGTTGCTCAGCTTTTATTGGCATTACTTTGAGTTGACCCTGTGTCTCTTGACATAAATGATTGTTTTTATTGCTTCCTTACTTCCCGACACTGCAAAATGTTGCAGATTCATCTTGTAGGTTTCTTACCTCAGCCTTAGAATCAACCATTCTCTAAGGAACCTTGATTACATTTATTGAAAAATGGTATTATAAACCAAGATCTTGGTTCTAAGACTTTCTCTGTTACTAGAATGTCCACACTTCCAGGCCCTCCCAGTCATAAAGGAGATGGCTCCTTTGGGAGGTAATTAGGCTTAGGGGAGTTCACAAGGGTAAGGTCCTTATGATAAAACTAATGTACTCAAAGAAGGGATTAGAGACTAGCTCTCTGAACAATCAACAAGCAGTCATGTGGACAATTAATAAGACACCAGGTCTTCTGTAAGTCATGAAGAGTGTTCTCTCCAGAACTAAATATGTCAGTACCTTGGTCTTCAACCAATCAGCCTCTAGAACTTTCAGAATGACATGTCTGTTATTTAAGCCATCTGATCTTGGTATGTTGGTATAGCAACCGGACCAGACAAAAGACAGCACTCAATACACATTTTTGAAGGAAGGAATGGAAGAATGATTTATGAGTTACTTCTTAATTTAAAATGCCATGACTTTACATTAAGTTGTTAGATGATTTTGTTTTCTTTGGACCTCTTTAAACTCTTTTTTCCTAAGAAGTCATGGAAGAAAAAAATGAAGCTACTTTTGAGAATTTTGAGTGTAATATAAACGTTTCCCTAAAGGTTTTTGGAAAGCAATTTGGAAGGATGTCACTTACAGACTGTTGCATGAATACAAATAGTATATAAAATACTTTAGGTATTTGAAGGCATAAATGTGATAGTATAAGAGATCTTGTTTTTCTCATAATTTGCATGTTATCAACATATGCAGCATTGTTCAAAACATTTTAATTAAAATTACCTTTAAATTATCCCATACTATCCTGGAGGATTAAACATAAGACAATACAAGTGAACTACTTTACCTAAACACAATGTGTAATTAATTATGGGTCTTTCTGAACAGATATTGAGCAGAAATACTGACCCATGAACACAGTAGTTTTATTCTCTGATTTCTAGGAGGCTCTCTAAAGTTAAGGACTTAATAAACATAAAACTGTACCTGTGGCCCATTTTGCTTACATAGTCTGTGTACATTTAGTTTTAAGTCAATCTATAAGAATTTTATTGTTAGATTATAATATATGATGAATGTTTGAAACAATGACATTACATTGATTAAAGTACTATAGAAGTTACTATCAGTCCCTACATTCACCTTGTTAACAAAGATACTAGCATAAATTTGTTTTAAATTATAGTGCCATATGCAAATATATATTTGTTTTGACCAGCACGAAAGCTCATGAACTTTCCTAAATGTACCAAGAAAACTTTCAGTACCGTGTTTACCAATCTCAGGCTCTAGTGGCATCTTGTAAGATCAATTTTAGGGTCATAATAGCTCCCACAATGAACCCAACAAGAAATTTTAGACTACATAAGACACTGAAATATTTCTAAGTTTAGGTAATCAGTACTCATAGAACAATCTGGTATCAATTTCAATTTTGGTTAATGAAAAGGCACATTTGGGGGATATTTCATATATCTGTAGACAGTCACTTTTACCAAAGTTTCTCAGAGACCAAATATTTATTTTAAAAAAGTGACAAAAATATCACTCTTCTTATAAGTAGTACAAAGCCATCAATAAAGTTTTTAAATATTGAATATTTTGGTGCCAACTGTGGTATAGCAGGTTAAGCTGCAATCTGTGACGCCAGCATCTCCTATTAGAGGACTGGTTAGAGTACTGGCTCCTCTGCTTCCAATTCATTTAATTAAATTCATAATCTTCATAATGATAACTTTATAGTGTATATTCTAAGTGTTATACATAATATAGTAACATCAAATCAATTAATCATTTATCTTTAATTCAAATTTAACTGGATGCCTTGTATTTTTATTTGCCAAAACCTTAAGCCTCATATTATATCCAGCACTTAACATGCCAAGTTATTTTAGTATTGTTTTCTCAGAATGTTTTATATAAGCTGAGTAGCAAATTAATAATTCAAATATATATAGCAGTGAGGTATTTTAACTACTCAATGCAAATAATCACTTGGAAGCTAAATTATATGCACAAAATTTTCTAATTTGACCGCATGCTGAGCACACTCTAGTTTACCTTCTAAAATGGTTCTCAGTTCATCCTCATAGGACTTTGCTCTATTTTATTTATGTTCACATTAGAAAAAATTCTTCAGAAATCTACTAGAATACCTTCCATATTGCCATATTCCATAACGTGTCTGTCTACTCATCCAATTATAAGCTCCTTGGGGAAAATGAGTACTTATCTTTCTGTCTCTTAATGTAGCATGTACTACTTTCCAGTTAATTAAATTAGTGGGGAAAAAAATCAAGCCACAATGCAACAGAAGTTCAGCATTGATCCTCAGTCATTTCAAAATGATACACAGGAACTATGAATTCTAAGTCAGTTAACAGTCGCATAACTGTTTATTAGGTCAAGGCAGAAAAGAAACCCAATAACAGATGTTGAAGTAAAGCCTTCCCCAATTTATGGAACCTTTTGGAAAATAAATATGTAAGTTTCTTTCTGGGGCATGGAATATAGTTGAAATCATTAAAATAGATGATACTATAATCGTAACAATTTCCAGAATAAAACCAGGATGAATTATTGGGTCTGCTATCTTTCTTTTTCACAAATGTAAACCTCAAATATTTTGGTCTCCTATTATTCCAAAGTCATGAATAATGTAAAGTAATGAAAAGGACTGTTTTTACAATTTTAAATATATTATAGGTATCTCAGGTAAATTAGGTGTGTTAAAATTTTTTTCTAGGCAACCTCTAAATTGTTCCTGTACTTAATTCACAAAATTTTAGTATGGTGTATAGAACATCTGTAATCATGCAAATCAGAAGTAATGTGAACTTTTCAACATAGATATGCACATATATGTATGAATACTATTGAAAATATTATGTTGATGTAGCCAATGTGATGAGACAAAAGTGTGGCACATTATAGCTATTTTATCCCATTTCAAATTTTCCCTGTTCCTGATTTAAACTGATTTTATTTGTAGAATCACACTTTTCTCATAGACAGAATCCTAGAAGCACTGACAATCAAAGTCCTTGAACTTCTTGACATAATCAACAACAAGGGTAATTCAAAAGCTTTTTGAAAATGGAATTAAAATATAAGTTTGCTGTGGTGCAAAAACTTTAAAATTCCATGCACAACTTTTTAATAACACACATTTCCATGAAGTTTTTGAAGAACTCTCGTACTTCATACAAACTGGATAAAAATAGCATTTCCATGAAGGATGAACTTGGATGAGGTAGGCACAACCTGAAATTAGCTGTGAATACTTATGTTTCCCAGATTTTCAGTTCTAAATACCTTCCCTGGTTCCTGTGTCACTGGATGCCTCCTTCTATTAGTTTTCTTGCTTTGTGAATTTTTTCACAGCCTCCAGTAAATTGCATTTATTTGACTGAGTAGAAGCAGTTTTTAAAATATAGCAACTCCCACTTTATTAAGATATTTACTTGAGACTAAACCACAGGGTGATAGGGGCTTCCATTTCATCATCGCCTTTGTTTCTACCGCCTGCAGTATGAACTCCACTGCATAAAGCAAACAAAAATGTACCTTGAAAGAATAAGCACATGCTTCTGAAACTGAACAAAATGTCCAAGTTCACAAAGAATGCTCATACAATTTTATTCATTCAAACACCTATATTTTGGGGTGGGTGTTGTGAAGCAATGTAAGCTGCAGCTTGGGAAACCCATACTGCATGTCAGAGTGCCTGCATTGGTGTCCTGCCTCTGCTTCTGATCAAGCTTCCTGCTAGTGCACACCCTGGAAGGGTACAGATGATGGCCCACATACTTGAGTTCCTGCCACCCACGTAAGACTCACAAGCAGTTCCTGGCTCCTGGCTTTGGCCTAGCCCAGTCCTGGGCTGTTGTAGCCATTTGGGGAGTGAACCAATGGATGGAAGATCTCTGTCTCTCCCTCCCTTTGTCACTCTGCCATTCCAATAAACTTTAATATGCATTACTTAGTTTATTTATATAAAAGACAAATACTATTTATATTTATTTAGCTTACCTCTGTGGCAAAGTTCTCTATTTATCTTCTGTTCAGATAAGAGAACCAATTTTGGTTGCTTGAGAAAAAAAAGCACTTAAACTAAAGTACACATTCATATTTTCACTTATGTCTTAGAAGGAAAAATGAAGATGCCAGTAACATGAAGGCCATGTTTACTAGGATTTTTGTAACAAAATCCCACAGATAAAGTGGCTTAAACAGTAGGAATTTATTTTCTCATAATTCTGGATCCTGGGGGCCTAAGATCAGTTGTCTTCATGGTGTGGTTTCTTCTGAGGTCCACTTCACCACTTGCAGACAGCTGTCTTCTTTTCTTTACATGACCTATTATCCTCTGGCTGGATAAACAGTTCTTCTAACCTCTGGTTCATACTCCAAATGTCTGTAGCAGCTTAGGGCTGGAATAGGCAAAAGTCAGGAGAAGGAACTCCAACTAGGTCTCCCATGTGGGCGGTAGGAACCCAAGTATTTGGGCCATCATCTGCTGCCTCCTATGTCCATTAGCAGGAAAACGCATCAGAAGTAGAGTTGGTTCACCTGCCCCAGGTTATCACCTAATTTTACTTCAATTACCTCATTAGAAACCCCATCTCCGTACACCATCATATACTGAGGCACCAAGAGATAGGGCAGGAACATCTGAAGTTTGGGGAGAAACAATTCAGTACCAAGATTGTTAATATAAAAAGTAGTTCTAAAATTCTAATCCCATGGAAATAAACATACTTTGCATTCTCCATGAAAGCTGAAAAATAAAATGTTACACTAAAACTTGCTTGCAGATATGCCAATTCTGCTAGGTTTTTCTATAATTGCTTTCAACATTTTAAAATATGGCCCACAGTAAGTAATCATTTTATTTCACAGCTCAATGATATAAAACTAAAATATAAATAAAATGATGCTCACTCTATTTCTGTGTGGTACAGTTTCCTTATTTTTCTTGGATGTAATTCTAATTTACTTTCTTAAAAATTACACATTATCTCCTAATAAACTGATTCCATGGTACATCAATATGTTACAACCTTAAGTCTGAAAAACACTGCATAATAGAAATTGCAGAAATGTTACAACCACACATACCACTGTAGAGTGGTTAAGAGTATGTAAATAGGGTAGGAAATTACTACCACAATCTTTTATGCAGTTGAGATGAATTACTTCCAGAAACATCAACTCATGGCTAGATATGTGTGTGTGTTTTACACATACACTTGTATGTGTAAAAAAATAATTTTTGATAGTCCCATCTTTGCTACTGATTTAGAATAAGACCTAATAAATTACTTATGATGCGAAAAAAAAAAAAACTGACCTTGGTTTAAAACACTGGTGACTTTTGGGGGCTCAAAAGTATAATTTTTAAAAATTTTTTTTTAATTAAAAAGGTATCTAGATATTTCCTCAGGTCATGAGCCTTAAAATATTCTAAAAATAGCTTATTTAATTGTCATTACAATCCTGGATTTAGCTGGTGAAAATGAAGCAAACCTATTAAAACAATTTTTCCAAAATCACACTATAGTGATTGAGAAATTCTGGGTTCTAATCCTGCAGTTTATCCCCAGAATTCATATTCCACAGACATAAAATTTTCCCCTGTGTTAAAAAAAACAAATGGAAAGAACAGAATGAACTATTGTTCCAATTTTAGTATATGTACTGCTGAAGCAAGCACCAGAGTGAACTATTGCTCTAACATAGCTGAATTCAGTGTATTGATTTTGTAGTCATGTGACAAGTCTACTTTATCTATATTTTTCTGATTGTAGAAAGGAATGAATTTCAGTTAATTTTTTACTAGATTAAACATGAGTTAGAAATCAGACTTCCGGGGCTGGCGCAACCCATATGGGGACCAGTTGGAGATCTGACTGCTCCATATCCAATCCAACTCTCTCCTATGGCCTGGGAAAGAAGTGGAAGACGGCCCAAGTCCTTGGGCCCCTGCGCCTCCATGGGAGACCTGGTAGAAGCTCCTTGCTCCTGGCTTTGGATCATCCCAGCTGGGGCTATCACAGCCATTTGGGGAGTGAACCAGCAGATGGAAGACCTCTCTTTCTCTCTCTCTCTCTTTCTGCTTCTCTGTAACTCTGGCTTTTAATTAAATAAATAAATATTTTAAAAAAGAAATTAGACAGCTTCAGAATTGTATTTGCACTTTATATGGTAACCTATTTTTCATCATTAGTTTTGCAATTGCTCTTATATGCCAGACATTGTTATCACAAGTGCATAAGAAAAACCATGGATAAGACGGAAAGAAGGTAAGGTCCATGTTTTTGTGAAACTGATATATTAGGTACCTTTAACATCTTATTGCAACGTCCCAAGCCAATCATTTGATATGTACCCAAGTATACCTTTAGAAGTCAACCAGTTTTTGCCAATCCAGAATACGGGACCCTGCAAAGCTCTCATTTATTAATGAAGATGAAATAAAGAACTTCCAAAACAAATAGAAATTGAAAGAATTTGTCATCACTTATCCAGCCTTACAAATGATGCAGACAGAAACATAAAAAGATAGTCATCATTAGGAAAGAATGTGAAGGCAGAAAATCTCCCAGGAAAAGTAAAAAAAAAAAAAAAATCAAAGCAAACAATAGGACTATTTACAGAAAAAAAAAATAGCATTACTTATCAATAGTAAGCTTGAATGTAAACAGGCTAAATTATCCAATTAAAATCACAGACTGGCTGAATGGATCAAAAAAACAAGACCCATCAATGTACTACCTAAAGGAAATACACCTCACCAACAAAGATATACACAAACTGAAAGTGAAAGGATAGAAAGAGATATTCCATGCTAGTGGAAAGCAGAACTGAGCAGGTACACCCATCCTAGTATCACACAAAATAGACTTTAACACAACAATTGTTAAAAGAGACAAAGAATGGAAGTATGTAATGATGAAGGGATCCAATTGAAAGGAAGATGTGACTATAATAAATGTATATGTATCCAACGCCAGTGGCAGCTGGCTATATCAAACAACCATTAATGGATCTAAAGGGAGACATAGACTCCAAAGACAATACTAATAAGTGACTTCAATATCCCACTTTCATCAATGGACAGATCAACTGAATGGAAAATTGACAAAGAAACAACTGAGCTAATCTACACAATGGATCAAATGGACTTAAATGACATCTACAGAACATTTAACAGTTGAAAAATATGCATTATTTTCAGCAGTACATTGAACTTTCTCTAGAACAGACCACATATTCAGCCATAAAGCAAGTCTTAGCAAATTTAAAAAAATAGAAATCATACTATGCATCTTTTCTGATTACAATGAAACA